CCTTTCCCCCAGCACAACCCACAGAATACACGTGCCAGTTACTCTTCCAGTTTTCTTGAAGTAGGGCAGAAGAGGAGCAGAATAGCTGTATCCATCACACAAACCCTCACCTTTCTGGTGCTGGGGAGCACACACAAGAACAGCCATGCTGCCAGACTAGCCATGTGCTGCACAGCCCTATCTGAGGGTGATACCTCCATGCCAGAAGTTACAAGGGTCCTTCTGACTGCCAGTCGTACAGTCACACTTGATCTCAAGAAAGCAGGCAACCAAAACCTGACCCAGCACAGTTCTGGTGCTGTTAGGATCATGAAGTCATGATCAGCAAAGTCCCCTGTGACAGCAGAGTGTCCACATCTTGCAGGCATGGCCTCGCAGGTGTCACCCTCTGACTCACATCTCCATGGCAGTGCCACTGGCTGCTGGGCTAGGGGAAGCTGCCCGCCCCAAAAATCTGACACCTCAGCCTGCTTGCCAATGACAGGGCCTGGTTCTGGCAGGGGACTGAACGTGCTCCCCGCTGCTTCCTGGCAGGAGGAAGAGCTGGCTGCCAGCACTCAGCACGCAGGCTGCTCCACAGCCCTCTGCTCCACCAGCTCAGGCAGGCTCCTTCCTCAGCCTCGCCAGCTTATGCGACTGCTCCCCAGTTTAAATCCTCCCTCCACACAGCTCCTGGAGGGCTACGTGTAGGAACACGAGGGCTAGTTCTACAGATTCAAAGATGAGATGGAGAAAGGACTGAGAGATGCTCCACTCAACAGGTGCTGGACAAGTGATGAAAAATTCAGCTGCCACCATCAGGCACGCTAGCAGATGAGAGATGAAGTGACTTGTTGACAGGGGGCAAACACCTGACACCAGAGCACCATGCAAGGCAGATGAGGATAACAAGATCTGGCAGGCAGAAATTTGACTTAACCTTCTGAGGTGAAAGGAAACCACTTTTTTGGTGTAGTGGAATGATGAACTGCAGAACCACCAAGGTGTGCATGCTTCCCTGGTGCTTGGTGCCTTTAAGTTAGCACATACTCAAGGCTAGAATATTTGAGGCAAAGCTGCTCCTGATGCAGCCTACAAACATACAAGCTTGCAGTGTTCTTTTCTCATCAAAATCAGTCCTCCCAAATAACCCAGGCCTGCCTGGGATTATGGAAACTGCAATGCTGGCCACCAGCAAGCAGACTACAGAGCACTTAGATCCTAAGGAGGAGAAAACGGGCAAATCCAGAACAGGGACAAAACAACCCATCAGCTGGAAGTTGTTAGACAGAGTAATGGTCAAGAAAAGGCTTCCAGCAGGCTAAGCTGCTATCTAAGAGATTACCTTTTGGACAATCTGAGCATTCCTGACTGGGAATTCTTAGATTATTTTAGGAGTATTTTTCAGCACTGATGCTGTTTTTCTAAAGTCCTCTCGAAACTGCAATGCTGGCCACCAGCAAGCAGACTACAGAGCACTTAGATCCTAAGGAGGAGAAAACGGGCAAATCCAGAACAGGGACAAAACAACCCATCAGCTGGAAGTTGTTAGACAGAGTAATGGTCAAGAAAAGGCTTCCAGCAGGCTAAGCTGCTATCTAAGAGATTACCTTTTGGACAATCTGAGCATTCTTGACTGGGAATTCCTAGATTTTTTTTTAGGAGTATTTTTCAGCTGTTTTTCTATAGTCCTCTCCTTGTCCTGGAAGAGAGGAGGTGAAAGATGCTCTGATAATCACACAGCTATGCTGGCACTGCCAACAAGGAGCATATTGTCATCCTCCTACTGGGTAAAACGGGTCAAATTCACAAGTTAACTGAACAGGCTCTTTGTAAATGTTTAAAAGGAGCTGGTGGAGGTGGTGCTGGGAATACACTGCAGGGAACAAGAGAAAGACTGCTGGAATCATTTCTGTAGAAGTGAAAATTAGTCTAAATTGTTTAAAACAAGGCCTGACAATCTTGCTGGAAGCTTCACTAGAAAGATGAGAAGTAGGATGATACCACTAGGTTACTAATTATGTAGGAAAAATAGTAGTGAACAGAGGGACAACATGTACCACGAGTTAAAAGATGTGGCAATATGACTGGATGGGGGTATGCTCTGAGAGGGGCTTCCAGGAGAAATACAGTATTAGACATGAATTCCCACCTGCTGAGAAATCTCAGAGATGCCAAGAACCAGGAAACCTCAGAGTAACTGGAGGCTTCAGCTGCCTCCACACAGACTGAGTGGCTGTCACACCCTGCTACCTGCCAACAAGCAGTTTTCTAGTTGCCATAAATGACAGCTCCATGGAACAATTAATCAAGAACCCCCAAGGAAAAGCAATTCATGATTTGGTTTCAGGCAGCACTAAGGTGTATCTGAAATCAGGGATCAGTTGCCTGCTCTAACTGTGACTTTGGTGTGTATCCCTTTAACACCCTTCCAGGAGCAACAAAACCATAACAGCTTTTATTTCAGGAAGAGGAAAAGAAGCATGCAAAGCAAAAAAGAACAAGCTGAGACACAGAATGCTGACAGGCAACACAGAGATGATGTGAAGATTATGTCAGGAGAAAAACGTTTCAACAATGCCACAGAAACCATCAAAAAGGATTTTGGAAAGATCACAGGAGTCAAGACAATGAAAGAACAACATCAGCAAAGAGAATAGAAAGCAAAATCCTTTACAAAAATGAAGGCCAAATAAAGACAGACAAATCCTCAAACTTTGGTAGATTAAGTTAAAACCCACAAAAGCAGAGTCCTTGCACCTCCCAACCAGAATCAAAGTTTGAGAAACCTTTTAAAAAAATAAATAGTAAAAAAAGAAAACCAAAAAATAATGAAAAAAAATTCTCAATCCCTTTACAGAACCTCCAGGATATTTATAAAGGCAAGAAGTGATCAAGTCATAACAAAGAAAAGCAGACTGTAAGACTCTAAGAGATCAGCAAAAAAAACCCCTGCATTTATTTTTGTATGTGTATTTACTGTGGAGATATTCAGGGAGCTTATGACTCTAAATCTTTTTAAGGAAAAGCAAGATGCTCTGTGACAGGAGATGACACCAAGTGGGAGGTCAAGAAGAAATGCCACAAAACAAAGCTTGGTTGCCAGGCCCATCAAACATTCACCCAGGAGTTCTAAAGGACATCAAGTCTAATAGCAGCTGCCTTAAAAAAACAGCTGAATACCATGAGGGAAATACCACTCCAGAGCTAAAAAGCATTTCAAAGGCATCAGTGGGATGAGAGAACAGAGAGCCTGATATGTGCTTTAGGCAGATGGGGAGAAAATACTAATGGCATCAGGGAGTGCACTGGTGTATGCAACATGCTGTAGGCCTTGGTAAAGGCAACCTGTGCCTCCAATCTATTAGTGACATTGGAGCCTGGGGCAAGGGACACATACTCCACCTGGGTTTTCAGAAGCCATCTGACTAGATCCCTCACTGAAAAGTTTTAAAGAAACCATGACAAATTCAGATGAAGGAAAATGTCCCTGCACACAGAAAATTCTTTGGATAGAGGATTGAGTGGGAATCTGTTTTTCCAACAGGAGGAGAAACCCTACACAGAGCTGAGCTAGGGCTTGTGCTGCTCAACATTACTCATAAATATCTGAGAAGAGATTAAAAAGAGCATGATGATTAAGTTTACTGACACAATAAGGTATCTGGCATAGCTAAAGATGAAAGGCAACTTAAAAATTTCCCTGTACACCACACAATCAGCTGACAAAAATATCAGATGAAATGGAGTGCTGGTCATGTTGTTTCTCCATATGCATGGCTATGCAATCTTATACTTACTTCTATAGTATCAGTCTCTTAAATATCTATGACCGTTCTCTGAAGGAAGCCCTGAGACACCAATTTAGTGTTTAGCAGCACTCAGGAAAAGCAAAAAGAATGTTAGAGACTATTAGGAGACATGAAATATCATAGCACTATAACAATCCATGTTGCTCCTACATTTTGAACACTAGCTAGTTTTCACCAGTGCTCTCTCCACCTCTAGAAACACCCAGAAGTATAAAGAAAGGTGATAAAATTTAGAAGACATATGGAACTGATTCCACTTGAGGATTTATGCAAACTAGGATTCTCCACATTGCAAAAGACAAAGATGACAGGAAGAAGGATGTGAAGGGCATTCACATTGAAAGGGTGAGGATGTAATAAGCATTTGTGGTCTCTTCTAATGCAAAAATTAGAAAGCAGCATCTGCTCCTGAGACAGATTTAAGAAGAATTCCCCTCACTCCAAGCAAACGTTTCCACGCAACATGTGTTAACTGCAAAGCTCCTTCCCACAAGAAATTATGGATGCTAAAGATTTGTAGGAGAAAATCTGCATTCAGCATTACTGCCACAAGTCAACTGAGAGAACAACAGAAAAAAAGAGGAAAAAACTAAAGTGCAAGCAACCAGTGCTGAAATAATGATTGAGGTCAAGCATATCTTGAGAGTCTTAGCTGAAAGACTGTCTCTGCTGTTTAAGGAGATCATATATATATAAAAGAGAGATTATATATATCTGTAAATATATAAAACTCAACATAAAGGCAAGTGTCCCCATAGCAAACACACAACAAAGACAAGGCATCCAGGTTTTAGAATAAGGTAAGTTTGCCCCAATCTACCTTGTTCTATTTCTTCCAGCTGTCCTGGCACATCCATCAGTTAAAAGCCCTGCTTGAGACAACTGCTCATCTGTCTTTATTACAACGAAGCAAAAAAAAGCAGTCCATGCAGCGAGGACATGCTGTAGGAGAGTGATCAATAGGACACAGCTGAGCAAGTTAAATGACTACCAAGTACAGGGTTTAATAAGCTTGAAGCAGCACCTCTCTGTCCCCTCACGTCACTGTTGTTGACGTGCTCTGCTCAGCAGTGTGAACGTGCCCAGTAATCCTCCCCACACCTTCCATCGACACCCAGCACCCGGCGTCACGGGGGAGGCTGAGCTCTTCCCAGCCACCCTAATCCCAGCCTGGCCCAAGCAGCACCTCTGCCCTTGCTCCCCCTGTACCTGTCCAGGTCGTAGAGGGTGTGGGAGTTCTCAATCACCACCTCCACGCCAGCCTCCTTGGCCAGTTTGACGATGGCTGCGTCTCGCTCCTTACCGAACGGCTCCGAGTCGTATTCGAAGGTGAGACGAGTGACTCCCCATTCCTGAAAGAAACCCCACAACACACACAGCAGTCAGACAGAACTCTTCCTAGCCAGCACTGCTGTCAACGAGGATTTCAGAAATCCTGGAAGCTTAGAAGGGGTTCCTGTGAGGAACAGCAGCCTGGAGTTGAGATAACTAAGGACTCGACAATTCTATCACTTCTAGCACTGCGTCTGTTATGCACATTCCCAAGTGTCAGGTTTAAAACGTGTAAGAGGAGTTTTGAGTTATTTTCTATTAACATTTTTAGGTTAAAAGCTCAGTCCCCAAGCCTAACACCACCTTGTTTTGTTCCACAACCTGTCCAGAAGTAACCCTGCCATCCTGAAACCCCCACATTCATATTTTTTTTATGTGGAGCCTATCATTAAGAAAACCAATACCCTCTAAGTTTTTTTCCAATATCTCTTTTTCCCATGTCTATTTGTCTCCTCACATAATAAGAGGACCAGTGTTCAACAGCAAAAAGCAGGGTAGTGGGAAATGCAGGACAAAGGATGGCAAGTGAGTGAACCTTTCTGGTCAGCACAGTAGAGTATGGCACTGCCATTCAGCCTGAAATTAAACTCCTGCCTTGGGGGAGTTACTTCACCCTACTCCAGCCATGCACCTATTCTGTATCTTCACACCTTTAATAGATCTCTCACAGCTTACATGGAATAGGCCTTATGAAAGAGTATTCAGCCTCTCTGCTTTTCCAGAGCACAGTTTGCTCTCAGACTATGGCCTAGTTTTCCTCAGAAAATGAATCCTATGGGAAGAGGTTTGGTGGTTTCCACAGCGACCCTCCCGAGACATCTGTCAAGCAGAGCAGCAGCCCACAGCTTTGTTTGGCAAACACAGCCTGAAATCTAGAGAGACATTTAAAAACCCCCTCTCACAACTAAGGCATGAAGCACATTCTCCAGGTGAGACAGTCCAAGTGACCCCTGTATACATAGGACAGTCTTTTCCACCTCTGAACCAGAAACAAATAAAGCAAAAAAAAACAGTTGTGGTTAGTTCACTAAAGACCATGAAAAAGAATGTCAAAGACAGGGAAGGGAATTCAGAAGCAGAAAATAACTGTGTAAATCCCCTTCTTTACTAAACATCCAGATTCACTCCTAAAATCAATATTAGGAAGGACAGAACTAGAACAGTTAAGTACCACTGGATGCCCATCTCAGAGCAGTCCTCCACTGCTTCAGAAGAAGAACATGACAGCATCCAGAACTCAGAGCAGGGGTCAAACAATCATGTTCCAGGCTGTGCCCTGTTCCCATGTGATTTAACAGCTTCATTTTTTTTCTTTTTTATAAAAAGACACTTATCAGCTGGAAGGCTTGGAAAAGATGGCTTGGGTCGTGAAGAAACATCCATTAATTACTGCCCTGAAAGAGGGGAAGGGAATAAAAAGCCATTTAAGTCTAACAGAGCTTTTAGGTAACACTACAAAACTTCAAATTCAGGTAGTTCCAACAGTTTTGAGAAGCCCACCACTCTATATGGTGGAAGCAGAGCACAGCCAACTAGAAAATAGTAAGCTGTATGGCAATACCTGGCTGCATACAGACAAAAATCAGGACTGACTTGTCTCTTAGTATCTAGTCTACAGCAAAGAAAACCTGTAGGGGAAAAAAAATCCACAGGAAAGAGACTGAGGGCAGCCTTCAGAGAACAACACTTACCCTACAGCAGTGTAAACCCCCACACAGGGTGTTTTTTCAGCTCTGTTACAGCACATCCAAGATATTCATCAACTCACCTGCCCAGGCAAAAAGCAGACTGCAGAAAAAAAAAAGCAGGTCTGGCTGATTCCAAAACCATCCCTTCAAACCTCACTCTGCCAACTACTTGTTGTTCTTTGACCAAAGCCAGCATTTTTCTCCAACAAAGTTTCAATTCTCCTGTGAATACCTTGAGCTAAAAGAAGGAAGGCATGAACTACTACTACCCACAACTTATTTGCAGATCAAAAGATAAAAATAACTGAGACTCTGAAAAGGCTAAAAGCAGCACAGTGTGTCATGTGTTAAGACACAGAAGCTAAAATCAGTATCAGGCCCTGTCTGACCTGTGTAGTCCAATTCCCCTCCCCAGTGCTGCCCTCCTGCATCAGGACCATTTACAGCAGAGGGGTACAGATGCAAGCTCCCCCCTCCTCCTCAGCAGCTGGTCTACAGCAGGCTTTGGGGACACTGCTTCTGTCAGCTGTGTGTACAGTCCACATGACAACCCCAACTCCTACTACTGTTGTGAACCATGGGGTTTTTTTTTCATTTAGCTTTGTCATTCTAGCAAGGACACGATCAAAAAGCTTCAAAAACAATGGGAAATACAATCTTAGAGCAGGACAGAGAAGAATGATAGTGCTGGAGGAACCCTGATACTCAAGGAGATGGTTTTGCCAGCCCTCTCTGCAGCACTGACATAACCCTGTAAAAATGCATCCCACTAATCCACCACTGAGCACTGAGGTCACTGCATATTCCCCTGTCCTAAATGGCC